TTTTGAATTCTCAAATATACAAATATTCAAATAGTTAAATTTTAAAATTTTCGAATTTTCAAATTTTCAAGAATTCAAGTTCTCTAGTTCTCAAGTTTTCAAGTTTTCTAGTTTTCTAGTTTTCTAGTTCCCAAATTTTCAAGTTTTCCAATCGTCAAATTCACGAGTTCCCAACTGCCAAAGTACCAAACTTCTCATAATCTCAACCTTCCAGCTACCCGAGTTCTCAAGTTTCCACACCTTTAACCTCTCAAACCAGCAAGCTTCCAAGTTCTCAATTTCCCAAACTCCTAAGTTCCCAAATTTTCAAATTCCCCAATCGTCAGACTCACAAGTTTCCAATTGCTAAAGCACAAAAGTGTCAAAGTACCAAAGTTTCCAAGTTCCCTTGTTCTCAACCTTCCAGCCAGCCAAGTTCTCAAGTTCCGAGATCAATCTCTCAAACCGGCAAGTTTTCAAATTTCCAAGCCTCCAAATCACTAAGCAATGATCATTTAATGAATGATCTTTGACAGACCACAAATTTCCCTCAAGCAGGCGAAAGTATCACCGTGTCTGTTTAAAAACTGAGAAACTACAGTTTATTCGCGGCTCGCCGATCGACGCGTGAATTATGAAGTTATTCGTCTGATACTGTTAGATGATCCGCTACTATAAACTCCTAGAAATATTTCTACGATGTTGAAAAAAGAGTCGTCGATCGTAACGACTCACTCCGCCTGGAAACCGTGACGTGCGCGCGCGGGGACAAAAGTATTCGGCCGATCCGTCGTTTCCCAGCAGAAAGACAAGAAAACGCGACGAGCGTGTGTAAGTGCGGAGTTAGTATTGTGTTCCATGCGTTAACACGATTTTCATTTAATTAGCTGTAAACCGAGTGATTCCGCGACCGATGCGGCGCGCGTCGGAAAAATAACGCGTATACTCCCGGTCGTTAATCTCTTGCTACGCGAATCGAACGATTGACATTTCGAAGCGGATCGTAAACGAGGAATCCCGCAACGAGGCTCGTTAAAATTATACCTTCGGCCAATTATTAGACCGTATTCGATTCCCATCTCCGCCGAGACCCGATTCCACTTTCCATTTAAAACGTTCGCTACTATCGTCTGTTTCAATAATAGCCCCTACCTTCGTAATATTTTATTGGCCCATTGCCGCACACTTTTTTTCAAGATCACTGCACATTTAGAAGAAACCCTTTGAATATTTCCAGCGTAAGTTTCCATATTGTGCTTCGCTGTTAATTACAATACTAACTAACAAACACAAATTCCAGTCCCTTGTATGTTAAAAATTCAGAACGAAAAGTGATTGTCTTAGAGACGCTTTCTTTTGAAAATGTTATTTTGATGCTGGAAAAAATGAGATGTTTCTAAGAAGTGTTTAATACGATTTTTGTTAATTTTTCGATGAGATAACATTGAGTATGAGAAGCGTGTTTTGAATGAAATATTGATGAAATGTAACTGAAAATTGTCATTGAGTTGCTAGATATAATGTTAATTTCGAATGGCAACGTGTGTAACTCCAATCTCACTTCTTCTGCGCGAAGTGAAAGATTGTGGTCGCGCCAAATATGCAACGTTGGTAAAGAACGTGATAACACGTCGAGCCGGAGTTGACACCCGAGATCCCGTGTGTATCGAATATTCACGGTTGCGACAATGTATTATCGATATGTGACCCGTTAGGAGACAAAATTCAATATTGGGGTCGGCGGACTCGCCGGAACGAAAGTCTATGAGTATCATACTTTCATAGAACAGAATACGTGTGTAAACGTTAAAGGAATTTATAAGAAATATTTAATCAAGAATTTGTTCTTGCCTGATGAGCTCTATTGTATCTGAGCAATTCATTTTTCAACGGGATAATCCGCACGAAAGTGAAATGTAAAGCAATCGGACGAAATGAAATAGTAAAAATCATATTTTAGAACCGAAGTTGACACTAAAGTCAGAGAGCATTAAAACAATGAAGTTAGTTACTTGGTTCTGATTGAATCATTCATTTAGTGTACAGTATCGAAAATTAATTCGATTTCAATTAGCTTAGATCTTATAATATCGAGCCCACGTAGAGTCTAATGGTTATTTGTTCTTGCGTTTGAAGCTGAGGTCGGTGTCTGCATTATTATCGACTGTTTCTACTTTTTATTTCCCAGACTCGATGAATTCAGCCGGCGGCGATAGGAGGCTCGCCCGCGGCTTATCGAATCATCGGACTGCACGATAGTTCATTGAATTGTTTAAGGTAAGAAGAAGTTCCTCCGCGGCCTGCTTTCGAATGAATTTCAAACCCTCGTATTTATCTCGGAGAGAAAAAAATTATTAAGACAAATTACTCGTTGCTGGGCGTGACGTAATCACGTTTAGGGTTGGGTCCGGTTTAGATACCGTTCTCTTTTTGCGGGCAAAACCGAGAGAAGAAGTGTGTTGGGAAACAGATCAGATACATTGTACACCGAGTTGCAACACGGAGCAACAACATAACTCTTGATAAAGAAACGTTATGATTATCTTTTACTTCGATACATGGCTTAAAGTCATATCGGCAACCTAGTAATTAGCGATAAGATACTATTTGCGCGAGGTTGAAAATCTCTGCAATAAATTCGAATTGTTTAGATTCAAAGCCAGTATTTCTGTTTATTCAGTTCAATTTTTTGGTCTCGTATAGAAACTGATTGGCCGAAAGTGTTCCCTGAACATTTATTTCCTTCGATTTCAACAGCTTTATTTTTATCCTATCCTTGCTACATTCGATCTTTATCTACTTAATTGGTACAAAGTCGAATTAATCAATTCATTAATTAACCTTTCACTAGTCGTGTTAACAGGAAATAAGATTCGGTTTAATGTCGGTCACTTGAAAGTTTACGTAAACGTCTAAACTATCTACCGGTGGATACGTTGGAGAAACCTCGAAAGATGAGTTCGCCTATCCATCTCGATCGCGGAGTGTGAAAGGATACCGACTTGCTACTGGATTAGTAATCCGATCCGACGAGATCCATGCGACGTGACGTAACAATACGAAACCGTATGGGTCGAGAGATGGTAATCGGAGCCAGTCGATTATCGAACAAATTCGCGGGGAACGAACGAGGAAGAAAAAGAAGACTTCTCTTATGAAAAACTAGACACCCAGATGTTTGTGTGTTTGTAACATGTGACACTATAGAACGCGATAATCGAACTACTTGGAAGCTCAACGATGTTTCTGTATCTATTACTGTATCTATTATTCTATCTGTTGTTGTATCTATTATTCTATCTATTATTCTGTCTATTATTCTATCTACTATTCTATCTGTTATTGTATCTATTATTCTATCTATTATTCTGTCTATTATTCTATCTACTATTCTATCTGTTATTTGATATATTATTTTGTCTATTATTGTACCTATTAATCTATCTATTATTCTATCTATTATTCTGTCTATTATTCTGTCTATTATTCTGTCTATTATTCTATCTACTATTCTACCTGTTATTTGATATATTATTTTGTCTATTATTGTACCTATTATTCTATCTATTATTCTATCTATTATTCTGTCTATTATTCTATCTACTATTCTACCTGTTATTTGATGTATTATTTTGTCTATTATTGTAACTATTATTTTATCTATTATTCTATCTATTATGCTATCTATCATTCTATCTATCATTCTATCTATTATGCTATCTATTATTCTATCTATTAATTCCTCCGTTATTCTACACAAAACTGTAAACTCTCCTATTGCAAATGGTCATTCTTAGAACAAATTTTCCATCGTGCGCAAATGTTAGGAAACGTCGGTATCCATATAAATATTACGGAATACTCGGCATTTGCCAAGCAAGGGTTAAGTATGCAAATAAGATTACACACAAATCCTGTTGACTCTAGTTTACCCACAAGAGAATGAGAGCCATCCAAAAAATCCAAGACCGAAGAGACGCCGCTGAATCGTTGGATCAACGAACCACAGAAATCACTGGGATTGTTTCGCGGAAGAATTATAAGTGAATTCTAATGTCGCCTGAATTTTCTTTTCCCCCTTCGAGGCTGGAAGTGGAACACGAATCCGCGCGACCCAGATTTTATTCCACCGGTATGCAAATCCGCGTGCGTCCGTTCCTCACGATACGGTGTTTGCCGGTCCGCGAACGTATTTTTTTCCGGATGCGTTCAGACCTTGCAATCGGATATCGAAGACCGATCTGTTTACCAAGATAAATCATATTCCGAATGGATCACCGTCTTGAAATAGAAATCCCCGGTCTCGGGTGTTCTCGCTTCCAGCGACACGCGATATTTTTCGAGAATAGCTGCGAGACTATTAATCCTCGTCGTACAACGGAAAATTATAATGTTACGCAGTCGTGTCACCTAGTAACAATCCGCAGGTCAATGCGTTAATATGAATCATAGCGACTGGCAATCGAATACATTATCATTCGTGAGTGAGTAAACATTTAGATACCGTATACATTAGAGACAGGCATTTCAATAAGAAAAGTTAAGCGTTCAAATACATACGATAATGTATAGTGACGATAGAAATTCAATTTGTCCAGAGAAACTATAATTAATTATAAGAAACGAAAAATTCAAAATGATCTTAGATAAACCTATATTATCGTTGGATAATTATCCATAATTATTCGAACGTTCGGGTTGGTCAAGAATAATCAAAACTAGAGTAGCGGTACATTAAACTACAATCTTAGCATCTTGTACAGTGGGCATCAATGATACTTAAAGAAAAATAATAGACATCTTAAGTGTTAATAAGAAGTTACTAATAATCATCACACAGAATTTCAAGATTTTACCGTGACGTCATGAAGGAAACGGATAAAGTATCAATATCGTTCGAATAATTATAGTACGAGGAGGGTTCAGCCAGGCGAATGTTCGCCTGAATAAACCAGTCGCGGTGGAACGCGAACGGGACGTAAATTACAAGAGTACACGCGGGAGAGCGTGAATCGACTTACGACATCGTCCGCGTGAGGCTGAAGAAGCACGATGGGCTGCAGCCTGGGCGAGTGATAAGGCCTGGCGGTCTGTCGCCACGGGGAGGCGATCACGCGATTGGCCACGTGCCTTTTCGGTGTCCTCCAGCCGAAGCAACTTTCCCCGCACGTCAGATCCTCGCCGTAATCTGGTTTCTCGAGCTGTCTGGGCCGCTCGGCGGGCTGCTGCACCGACGCCGCGCACTGACTACCGCCGATCCTCGAACGGATCACGCTGCCTCGATCTTCGACAGTCCTCTCATCATCGTACAGACTCGTCGGTCGCCATCCCGCGTCTTCTTGCGCGCGATTATTCCTCTGGTCATTTCGCATTCTCAATTCTAGGGGGTCCAGCTGCCTGTGAAGCTCATAGCCGTTCCTCGAGAAGCAGAACTCCTGTTGCTTCGCCGGTGAATGACAGGTCGCCCGTGGTACGCTGTGCTCCGCGCCGGTAGCGGTGCCGTCGTCGATCCTTTCAATCCTCGGCACCGCGACGACGGGATGATGATACCGTCTGACGTCCGTCTGAAGCGTTCCGTCCCTATCAGGCAGCTGATCTAGAACGCGGATGGCGTTCTTCTCTTGGCCTGCGTTCAGGAACGCGGGAACGGGCCAGGTAGCGGAGCAGTGCCTGACCGAGCCGTATCTCGGCCCGGCAAAGTTCATCGAATCGGGAAGCGGTCCGATTTCCCTGCCGGTCTCCGGCGACTCGATCGCCGGGCAGACCTCCCGCTTACCGGCCATGGTGTTGTTCGCATCTTGCTCTCCGTACCATCGGTCGCAGCAAGGATACTGATCGCACCGTAGGTACCTGGGGCTGATCTTCACGTCCATCGCGTCCTCTTGCTTGCAGTCTGGCCGCGAACAGGTCATCGAGAACGGCACTGGTGGAAGCCTGATCCGCAGCGCTTCCGCGGCCCGCAGGAAAGCATTCAATCGGGGCCGCGGCACGGTCGCGTTTCCGGTGTACACGAAGCCGAGGATCGCGGCAAGTTCCGGCGCCTCCACCTCCGCGAGGATCACTGTGATCGGCTCGCAGTGCGACGAGGTTTTGCTGTGCGCCAGCAGGACTTCCTGAAAACGAGAAAGGTGAGCCGGATTATTCCACGCGGACAGATTTATGGAGAGAGGCTCGGGTGATTCGGTGCTGAATACGTAATCCTATCGGGCGAGGTTTTAAGGTCGACCGGCCGACCGGCCGGTTCAGCCGCGGCATTCTTCGACCGACGGATTATTTCAGTTCCGAGTGCAACGAGTCTACGACCTTCGGCGAAGGCTGCAATGACCCGGGAATCAAAGATTTTTTTCACGGTACGCGCTTAACGTTAGAACTACCGAGCAATTAAAGTGTCTTTCCGCTTCTTCTAATCTTCTTCCTCTTATATTTAACTTTCAAGAATTCTTAATATTCGAAGCACCGATCGTTGCATTCGTCAAGTACACAAAATTATCGATAATCCTTTCATTGCGAGTCGGAAACATCAAAAACCCCGTACGGCATGCAAAATCGGGCAACGATCGCGTTCAAATTAAAAATATCAATGCCACCTTTATTACGCGTGAAAAGCCGGCAAGGTCCTTTACCGCGCATTAAAGTCTCCAGCAGTCGCTCTCCTTCCCGCGCGTGTGTGACAATGCGTCGAAATCACCGGCGCGCGGCCGCACGCCGGGATCACCGAGGTTCACGCTAATGATACATCGAAAACGCAAGAACCTGGAATCGTTTCGATTTCTGGAATTACTCGAGCAGAATTGTGGGCTTGCCGACATCCGCATGCAACGCGGAACATTCGAACGATGTCGGAGCTTATGCGCTCACGCGTCCATGATCGTAAATTTCGCGGTGCGCGAGGCATTCGTGCGTTTCGAATGGCGGGACGATTCGGAGCTGCAGGAACACGCGACGAATCAGGGGCAGATCCGTTCGATAATCGCGCCGCGAATTAATTTGGGGCTGCACGCTGTTAACCGTGACTATTTAAACGCGTTTTAAATGAAACACGATCGCAAGAAACGCTCGAGAAAAGGTGTTCAAGGCAGTCAAGACTAACGGTTCACCTTGCATCGGACGTACTGTCGTCGCCGTGCCACGAATTGGCAATAACAATTTCTCTAGACGAACCGTCTAACGCAATTTGTATTGTTGTTGCGTGGACGCAAGCCTGATTTATTTCACCCTGAAACGCGATTATCCATATCTATCGTTGGAGGAATGTAAGAAATTTCTGAGTATAAGTTTTTTGTCTCGAATATCGCCTTTGAACACGAATATCGTTATTTCAGCGACATCGAACTTTTATATTTCGAACACAAAGTTGCAATTAAGTTGTGCGGAAGTTGTAGTTATTCAAAATGTTAAAACTTATCGTGTAATATCCTTTTTCTATGATATTTAAGAGTTCCATAGTTACAATTCAGCTTTCTCTGGTGACGGGTTTGAATACTTTGAAAAACCCTCGAACGCAAATTCGCTGGTGAAATCAAGATTTCGCGTTTATATTAGACAATTAACGTGTACATTCAACGCTTTAGGATGCACAGAACCATTAGGAATGAGAATTTAAACTCAGGTTGTTGTGTTCACGCACCGATAGAAGCCGGCAAGACAAATTACCGGTTATCAACGACTCGCTTTACACGTGCCCGCAGTAAACATGTAATTATTATACTAATTTTCCGACGGGATAGAACCTCGAACGGGCCTGCGGGATATGTGATGGCGCCCATTACCTGTTCCCCGTGCACTTTTCCCTGCGATTATTCACCGGCTTGCATCATCGTGCAATTTAAAGGACAGTCGGAAAAAATAACGCGACTGTCGCTTTATCGATCGAGACCGGCGTTTCAAACGCTTCAAAGACACTTTTTGCCGCTGAAACGTATGAATCAGCTGAATGCGAACAGCTTAATTGGCTGTCAAGTCCGATCCAGTTTAATCGACGGTATATTAATGCAACAATTACCTGGAACAGCGGTCGGGATTTAAGGAACACTTTTATTACCCTCGGTATCGTAAAATTCTTTCGATCGACGGTCCAGCGAGTAATGTCGATCCCCGTGTATATAGATACATACGTATATCTTTACAGCGTTGTTCGATCACGCGGAAACTTTGGTCGATAATCGAAAATGTCGATTTATTATTGAAATTTCCGCAATTAACCAAATTAATTCAATTACTTAAAAGTGTTTACCTTCGATTACGAAATGTTCGTCAGCCAAAGTGATCAACGGCTCAGAACGAAAATCAGAGAATTCAATAAAATTACATATACAAAGATCTAACCAAACATCTGACCACTGAAATCTGAAAACATTCGACAATAGGAGTTAATCACTCCTGAACAACTCACGCGAAGAATGTCCTATAGAAATTCAAACAAAACAGACACACAGTCGCAGCTTTCTTAATAAGTTATGTATAAGTTCTCGGTACTATAACCGATAGTCCCAACGATAACGACTTCGCATCGCGTTTGTCCAATTTACACCGGTAACTGCGAGATTATTCGAGAGGAGGCTTCAATATCCGCGGTTAATTGAGTAGAAAGCGTCCGCATCCGCGCTGCGGGCTTAATTTTAATTTCAAATCTGCCAGTTCAACTTGAAAACACGTCGAGTACCCGGATGCGGTGTGCTCTTGTCGAAAGGACCTTGTCGAAAGGACCTCGTCGGGAGACACCATGAAAAAACCGTGTTTCGCGGCGAATACGCCGAGTCACGCGGTTTCGAGTGTCATGAGCTGCGCTGCCTGCGTATTTATCTGCGATTGTTATTTTCATCGGACGAATTTCTCGAGTATACAGTAACCGTAATCGCCCACTCGGAATGCTTCGGTCATCGAGTCATCCAACCTCTCGAGCAGTAGACTTTTAACGGTACCACACTGTTGCCCGGGACTCAGAAGCACCCTTCGGATCTCGAGGAGACGTTTTTTTCTCTCCCTTCTCTTTCTTTCTCTCTAGAATATTTATGAAATAATAACAGTGTTCAGACTCAGGTTGGCACGCTGACGAGATGACATTATTGGAACGAATAGCTTTTTTAACGGGACCGACCGTTGGAAATCCGGACGAGGGACGGATAGATCGATTGTGTGTTAATAACATGGCCTGTTTTCATTAATTTTCTATATTTACTGTGTGAGTTGGAATGGCAACTTATAAGGATGATCATGAAGTTCTATTTCTCTTATATGTAATTTAGTCGTTTACGGTTATAACAGTTTAACGATCTTTTAAACACTGAGTATCGATATTTAAAAGTTTTTAAATATTTCTATGAGAATCATTTTATCTATAGATGACGTTTCTAGGAACACTTCTATTTATCTGCCGAACGTCAAGGTGATACCGAATTTTATTTATTTACTATTCACCTCAAAAACCTCAAATCAGCTAGAACTAATTCAGTTACATGTCGAGCATGAATGATTTAAATGCAACTTATATTCGACATAACAGCGACAATTGAACATTGTAAGGAACAGACTACATTTTACTCACTTTGTCCGAACCCCGGAAAATGATAATCCTCGAAACGTGTACTAGATGAAACAGGTTTCTGGTGGCAGTTACGAGGTGAAATGACAAATCGTCGGATTCGCTTCGCTGGTATCATTTGGATAAATCGAAACTGCAGCATTGTCGGTGTTCCAATAATGACTTGCCGTGTTCAGTTTGTGTTCACCAATTAAGCGACGACCGATAATGCATGTGGTCTCGAGCAAACAGAGCAACCGAACGTTTTAAGCTCGATACACACTATCCGTTCAATATTCTTTCATTTTTATCGTTTTCAATGAAGATAAATCAAAGAACGAGCCGCGATAGGACCAGGATTCGCAGTGTGAACGTCGTGCATTATATACAATTTGAGAGTTGACCGACAGTGTTATATACAAACAGACCTAGAGCTAACCGATAGTGTGCATCGAACGTTAATGAGAAACTGGACGAGTTCCCAGGTGGTGAGTCGGCTAAAGCCTGGAACGGTATTAATCTAAGTGGAGCAGTGTCACCGGCGGGCCCTCCTCCTCCCATTCGATTGATATTTCTGATTAATTACTGCATACTACGGTCAGCGTGATCTCACGATAAGATAACATTCAATGGACATCGGCAACGAACGAATCGTGCACCCAGAAAACAGGGAAATTGTGAGTTATTGGACAGGGTCGATGATAACTTGCTGCTGTGTACAAAGGTACGCGACTCTTGTCAGTTCCGCGTGTAATATTGATAAGAACGAAATTGCAGGTGGTTTATTTATTGGCTTATCGATTCGTTCTTAGTCTCCTATTTGACAATCACTGGAGTTATAAAGATTTTGATTACCACTGAAACTACCGATCGAGTCGAAATTACTCAAACTGATTTCTTCTTTCGCAATTATTGAAAAAAACACGAAAGCTTTTCTTGGAAGTTGTTCGATAAATTTTTAGTATCTGGCTGAAGAGATTGTTACTTAAAAGGTTTAATAACTGTAAAGTTCAAGAAGTAAAACATTTAATAACTGAAAACTTTAGTAACTAAAGATTTCAGTAACTAAAAACATTGATGGCTAAAAACTGATTTAATAACTCTTAAGGAAAGCTTTCCTGTCTTATCAATAATCGATAAACAGGATTTACGAAAGTCGGTATGATAGCGTGATTTTCAATAATTTTACGAGGGTATTCCAAGGGAAATAATAAAATGTAATTGACCGTAAAATGACTTCGACGCTTAGAGGAGTGGTAACAGATCGGCGGAGGATTAAATGATACTTTGAATTCGATAGGAAATAAAGAACCATAGACGAGAAATATCAAGGGGGAATACATAATTAAGTAACTCAACGAGGAACAAATATAAATCTGGGCTTTAGTAATCAATCCGGAGTTACCAGGCGTGCGCGCGCAAAGGAAACTGCCGGATAAAAACGAGACCCTAATGTGATCTGAACTAATTAGAGTATTAAAGACAATATAAATACCACGAACATAATCTCCAAGAAAACAACGACGAACGTAGATCTTAAAAGAGGTGACAAACAAGAAATGATCCGTCGTTCAGAAATTAATCCGGACACTT